TTCTGTTAATTTGCACCATTTTGACAACTATCTTTGCACGCAGTACCTTCGCTCATGAAGGACATGGAGATAGGCCAAAGGACGGTTTGCTGGACTCCTTCAAGGACAAAATACTAACTGAAGGCGCAAACAGTGTTTTTGACTGGGTGTTTGGCGATCTAGAGTAAGTTGCAAATCTTTTTTTGTTTACTCCCAGTTGAAAGCATTGACATTTAATTATGCCGCCACTAATAATGCTGCACAGAAAGGGGCACACAGAAAACTTAATGTCATTTAATAAAGTGAAAAAAGTTGTGTTTACCCTTTCCGTTTCAACTTCTAACTTGATGACATTTTAATTTAATTTAGCGATGCTGCTATGCATGCACATGAGATTGAAGAGCACTTTGCCTATTTGAAAGACGGCGACAGTAATTCCCTTTCCAGTTTGGCATCAGCAGCCGGCATTAAGCCTGAGTTTTTAAGTTTCAAGTGAGTACCCCTTAGAGCAGGGCAGAGCAGATGTCGCTGTTTGCAGTCGTCATTATGCCGACTGACATTTTGATTGTGTGCACTTTTTATTTGTGTGCTTTTATTCATTGCCCGCTCTCCAAAACACTATTACAGAGCGCACGACTACGACAACAATGACAAGATAGACGGTCTCGAGTTGATGGCTTTAATTTTAAATGAAAAAGTAGGCGGACACCAGCAAGATGCCTTGTCGCCTGAAGCAACAGCTCAGCAGATGCAATTAGGATCACGTAAAAATTTTTTAAATTTCAAAGTAAACTCTGTTATTTACTTTTCAAATTTTGCAACGTTTGCAGAAATCATTGACCGACTGCTCGATGAAGAGGACCTTAATCGCGACGGTTTTCTCGATTTTAACGAGTACTCTAATGCCCGCGCTCGTCTGGCTGAAAAACACTAAGCAAAAACACTCAACAAAAACATCTTTGCATCAGCAAAATTACACTTTTATTTGAAACAAACACTACCTTTAATTACTTTTTCATTCACATGCCAAAACAGAAATGCCAGACACTTCTTTTATTATTAACTGAAAAGAGCCAAACATTCAAACACTTAAAAAGGATTACAAAAAAAGTACATAAGTATATAACTTTTGCTCAAAAGCAAAAAAGTTTAATTAACATTAATTGGAAAGTATATAATGGCGGTGGTAGAGGAAACAAATAGTAATGCAAAGGGAAAAGAAAGGAAAAAGGAAAGAAAGGGGTCGAATTAGGCGCTTGGCGAGTCAAACTGGGCGGCGGTGCACTCAAAGATGGACGATGCGATGCCCAGGCTGATGGTGGGCATGTTCTTGGGCATGGCACCCCCGGGCTGTCCGGCATTGAGCACGTCCACCTTCATGCCGTTCTCGCGAATGCACTTCTTCACGTTCTTCCAGTCGTCGCCGACGCACGGGTTGTTCACCAGGCTAGAGCAGCTGCGGTGGATGTCCTCGATCTTCTTGCTCATGTCCTCGGTCACCACCTGCAAAAAAGGAGAAAGAGGGGGAAGTTTTCCTAGGGTAAACACTCATTAGGTAGCAAAACTTACCGGAAAGTTTTCAGGAAGGTGGGCGTTGGAACGGTCAAAGACGAGCTTGTCGATGCACTCAGTCATGATGGTGGGCCAGACGTCGACGCGGGAGGCGATCTTTTCGCCGAATCGCTCGCAGTACTTCTCTCGCTGTCGGTCGGACATCTTCTCTGCCAGGTTGGCGATGTTCTCCATCTGTTTGGCGTGGTCGGGTGCTACTGGCTGAGCACTGACCAGGGCGAGCAGCGGGAGGCTGGTCATGGCCACCAGGGCCACAGTGACGAGCAGGAATCGGAGTTGGGCCATTGAAGTAGTTGCGAAAGGGAGAGAGAGAGGGAAAGTTGAAAAGTGGAAAAGGGTGACAGAAGTGAGCTGATCAAGTGATGGTACACAGTGGTAGTACTTGTTAACGGTTCTCAACTGGCCTTTTATACCTCAGTTTGCTATCAGCCAAAAACTGCATGACAAAATGTCAATTTCAACAAAGCGATAACCGATGTTTGCTCGCTATCAAAGAGTTTGCCTGTTCACTGTTGACAGAGCTCATACTTTTCCTTTCCCAGTGCTGACCACTAACTTACGTGACTGACCCCACTTAATCAACCACGTACTGCACTGGACGGCATTTTGGGTTTAGCGATACAGCCAATAGGTACTTGTTGATATTTGCCCGTTTCAATGTTAGCACTAGCTGGCACTACACTTTCCTTGATGAGGTCGGGATTCATTTTACCCTGCTCGTTTAGCTAAACGGCAGCAATAAAGTGCAAATTAAGTTTGGACAATATTTGTGATTGCTTGCAGCACGACACTGGTTTAGTTCTGGTTTACATTACGCCAATAAACTAAAATCTTGTTAGTGGTAATTGGAAGTGCAGCGTGATGTTTGATGACCAAAATTGTGTAAACAACATTTGCATAATTTACATTTGAGTGCAAAAAAATATTGCAAATAAAAAACTTTGCATTTAAAGTTTAGTTTTAGTAAAAATATGGTTTTATAAAGTTCAGCTATTTAGTTATTATAATTTATTCTGAATAAAGTTTGCTTGTTTAAATACCTCTTTTTAAAACATATGCTAAACTTTAATTTGATTATAAAAACATACATTACTTGTTTTAATGACATAGAGTAGTCACTTACACCAACTTTTAATAAGTTCCACTTTTATTTTAATTTTAAACATTGGTTAAATTAAGGATATGCATAACAAAATATAAATAAAATGTTAACCGTGTTTTTGAATGTTAAAAAACACTAAAATAATGTTGACAAATATTATTTGATGTAAGTTTTTTATTTTAAACAAAATATTTTTGATAATAATTGTGTTTACAAAGATTAGATAAAAATATCACCAACGACAAAATCATAGAAAGGATTTAAATTAAAAAATGTATAAATCAGAAAGCATCGTGAATGCTTTGCAGCTGTCTGATTGCCAAATCAGTTGGCAAACAGAACTTTAGTGTGCTCAGCTTGTCCAGTTGCCGAAGGGCATCCTCGAATCCGGTGCTTGCTGCGTAGCTCCACTTTTCATAGCAGTCACTGTTCAGCAGGGCGTTCCGCACCACCAAACGAGTCCAATTGCTTAGCATATGCTGACTGGTGGAAGGAATTTAGAGGAATTAGTGTTAAGACACGATTTGTGCAAGCTAATGAGTAACATCAATAGCAAAGATGAGTTAATCATACTTTAGTCCCATGCAGACGAATGCCTTAAAGTGCGAATCAAATGACCGTTTGTGCCGTGAATGTGTGTCAATGATATCGTCAATGGCCGCCAGTAAGCTGTGCTTTGGATTGACATTAGTGCCCGAGACTACCTGCAGGCCAAAAGATTGCGACAGTCGCCGAGATGGGGCCGCGCGGAACTGGTCGCCATTCTGTACCAAACAAACACACAAAGTGTAATAACATTGAAAACAAAAACTATACAAAATGCAAATTTTTGTTCCAGCTAAATTCCTTCATTTTTGTGCAGTGGATGAGTTTGCAGCCATTCGTTCATTCGGCAGTAAAGAGTGAGCTTATCGAATTTAGCAAGCTTATGAGATGGCTGGCAGGCAGGCTGGCGCATCCACACAGAGGCTGCTGTTGCACCTGATTAGCCGCACACTTACTGCCGAACGACCGATGCAAGAGAAGAAAATGAGAAAAAGAGAGAATGGAAAGAAGATACACGGCTGTTGAGCCATACTGCAAAGAAAGGATTACCTTGTGGTCGTAGTAGAGGAGGACTACCTCCCACGCGTGCACCGGCTTTCCCACCGACTGGTGGGCGATGGAGGGCAGCAGGGCGCCGGCGGCCCTGCTCGACGACGCTCCGAAGCAGCCCAGGCCCAGGCTGAGCAGACCGACGGCAGAGGAGGATGAGGAACTGGAGGCGCCACAGGAGTAGCCATTGGAGGAGAAGGCTGCTCCAATGGCTCCAGAAGCCCCGGAGTTGCCGCTGCTGCCGGCCACTCGCTGCACTCGACCCACCGTCGTCGGTCTCAGCTTGAGGGCGGCGCTGCCGATGAGTGCGGCTCTGCTGGCGGCTGAAGGTCGTGCCATCTCCATTGCGCCACTTGCGCTCCCACTTGCCCCCTCCCCATCCAGTGCCCCGGTGAGCCCGTGCTGGAGGAGGTCACGCAGCGCCAGCGAGAGGTCCTTGCGCACCAGGCCGGTCATCTGCTCGTGGGCGAAGTAGTTGCTCATCACCAGCGACGGTTTGGTGCCTGCAGCGGCAGAGGCTGCCAGCTCAGAGGCGGAAGCAGGGGCGTTCATGTTCTTCTCTCGGTACAGCTCCACAATGGCGGAGATGGCCAGCTCGAGGTGGGCGCGCAAGTCGCCCCAGTGACGGGTCTGCGATTTCAGTGAGTTCCGCTCGAAAGGCGCCGCTGATTTAGAATATGAACCGGCTGAGCTGCTGGCATCAGCAGGGTTGCCCGCTTGAGAAAAAAGGGGACAAAAAGTTAATATACAAAGTGAAAATGCGTGTTTGATTTAAGTAGTGGCAATTGGTGACTGCGCAATTTACTGTACAGCAACGGCAGTAGAAAATGTGGCAATAGAAACTTACCAAAGCTGGCACATCCTCCGAGCTGAGTGAGTGCAAAGACGTGTAGCAGAGACATTATTCGATTCATTATGGTGGAGGCCGATTCATTTGCTTCTTTCTCAGCCAGTGAAGACGTTGCCGTGCTACCGTTCACTCGCCCATTGTTGCTCGAGCCGTTGGAAAGTGGTTTGCGTGAAGTTTCATTAGTTTTATGGTAGTAGTTTACATGTCTTGTTGGTTTGATCGAAGTAATTTGGTTGCCACCACCATCTGCTGCCGATGACAAAGAGTGGGCAGCATTTTGCTTAGAGGAATCTTTTCCTTTGGCATCGCGTTTGGCTTGTGATCGACTAATTTTGAGGAATTTGCTCATTTGTGCAAACTTTGAGTTGGGTGCCTGCGACTGTGTTTGTGCTAGCAAATGCTTGTGTTTTTCTTTGTTGTTGCCGCCTTGACAAAAGATTCGAAAATGTAAAGTTTGTAATTGCAAAAACCTTAAAAATAAACAAAACATACCTTTTTGCAGAAACTCAATGAATCGCTCTAAATCAGTGACTTGCGTTTTCAACTGACACACAAGTTGCTCTTTCATCAGTACTGGATTTACAAGCTGCAATTACAATAACAGGAAAACACATAGAATTAAATTTTTTAGTAGTTTGCAAACATCTTTGCTATACTTTATTTACCTCTTTGACTGCAAAGTCGACCTTTTTCCTCAGCTCTTCCGGACCGAGTTTGTCAATTTCATCAATAGTGAGAACGGGTAGTTTTGATTTAAGCTGCTCAATGATGGCGTTCTGTCGCTCGAGAAGCATCGAGCTGGGCAGCGAGCTGAGCTCTCCCGTCTCGTAGGCGTACTTTTCCAGGTCCTCCAGCTGCTCCTTCAGCTGTCCAATAAGCTCTTTCTGTCGAGTTCGCTGCTTCTCCAGTTTCTCCTCGGTGATCCACCCGGCAGTGGTCGTAGAGCAGGAACCCAATCGGGACCGCTGACCACCAGCAAAACTGCCGCCATTTTCACTCTGCAGGTCAGCATCGGTTATGCTAGAGGCGGAGTGCTTTGGGAGAGCTCGGTGGGCAGATGCAGAAAGAAGGCGGCGCTCAGGGGAGATTGATTTCTCGTGATCACTAAGAGCATTGACAGACACCACGATTGACTCATCCTCAAAATCCCCGTCTTCAAAGACATCATCGGCGGCAAAGCTGGTGGCCATTGAGACTGACCGCTCCAGAGGTGCTCTTCTGGGGTTGCTGCCTGTATCTTTCCCTTGCGGCGCCATCGTCATCATCAGCTCCGGAATGCCCCGGTTGGCGAATGATTCCAGCTCCTGTAGGAGGA